CAAAGCCGCTTTTTTTCCCCCCTTCCCCCCTCCCAAAATCACTCCAAAACCCCCCAAAATAAAAATCCCAAATCACCGAGGTTCCGAGGTGGCGGCAGCGCGGGCGCCTCCGCTTTGTTTCCGCGGTTTAAATGGATTTTTCGATGATTTTTTGGCTCCACGTAGGGTTGCTCGAAGAGGTCGCTGCGCCTTCCCAAATGTGGATTCCTCTGGGATGGGTGTGTGGAGGAATATTTTTAATAAAGCGTGAAAATTTTTCCTTCTAGGCGGGTCGTTCGAAGCCATGGCCTCGGCCACAATTCATCCTGCGGCTTATTAATTAATTGGCTATTAATTGTATTTATTAGCTGGTGTCCGTGAGAAGAGCGGCGGAGAAAAGCGGTGGAAAATGAGAGTTTTGAGGGAGTTGTATTCTTCTTTTTTTTGGGTTTTTTTTTTTTTACTCGTGCACCGTCTTTATTCAATTCGCGTCTTTTGTGGGGTTTTTTTTTGCGCCCGGATTCTTTTTTGAAAGGGAAAAAAAAAAATAAAAGGTGAAAAGAAAAAGAGGAAAGAAAGGGAAGAAAGGGAAAGGAAAAAAAGGGGGGAAGAGAAAAAAGAAAATAAAAGACAAAAAAGGAAAAAAAAAAGAGAAAAAAAGAAAGAAAAAATAAAGAAAAAATAAAGAAAAAAATAAAATTAAAAAAGAAAAAATAAAAGGAAAGAAGAAAGGAAAGAACAAAGAAAAGAAAAAAGAAGGAAAAAAGAAAGAAAAAATAAAATTTAAAAAGAAAAAAGAAAAGAAAAAAGAAAAAAGAAAATAAAAAAGAAAATAAAAAATAAAAAATAAAAAGGAAAATAAAAAATGGGAAAAATACAAAAAAAAAGGGAAAAAAAAAAGAAAAAACAAGAATAGGGAGGGGGCAAGAAAAAATAAAAAGGGAAATAATAGAGGGGGGAAAAATGGGAATTCTCTCGCACTCCTTGGAGCTGCTAAACTTTATTTCCAACTTTAAATCCCAAGGTTTTTTTCGGTGTTTAGCAACTCTCCCCTCCCCAAAAAAAACCCCCAGGAACAAAAAAACCCCAAACCAAACCCGGGCTGCAGATTCCTCTTCCCAAAAAAGTGGGAAAAAATGGGAAAAAATGAGAAAAAATGGGAAAAAATAAAAAAAATGGGGGAAAAATGGGGAAAAAAATGAGAATGAAGTGCTCAGGCAGCTCCGGGCTCCATTGTCTGAACCTGAGGCTGCGTTCGGACTCCTCAGGAGGCGAATTTTGGGGAAACTTCCCTGGAAAACCTTCCTGGGGGCAGGGAAGCGGCGGCTCCGCTCCTTCCCCAGCCCCGTTTTTGTCTCCGGAATGAAAAGTTGGGTTTGTTCTTCTTCCTCTTCCTCGTTTTTGATTCGAATTGTCTTTTTTTTGGTGTTTTTTTTATAAAAGATTTTAATGCCGGGATTTGATTTGTTCCACTCAAGGATGGAGCGGGAGCGATCCCGGTTTAGCGAGGATCCCGGGAGAGGAGGAGGAGGAGGAGGAGGAGGAAGGAAAGAGGAGGAGGAAAAGGAGGAGGAGGAAGCGAATTCCTGAGCGAGCGTGTAAAAAAAGAAAAGAAAATTCCCCCAAAAATTCAAAATAACTCCAGTTGGGGAGCGGGGATCCCGGGATCGCTTTTCCCTGCGATCCCACAGCTGGCTCAGGGATCCACTGGGATCTCCCCCTTTTCCCAGCACCTTTGGGTGCTCCCCCCGCGGGAAAAAAATCCCAATTTTCCAACCCAATCCCGCACTTTTCCCCCTGTTTTTGTGCATGGCGAGAATTTCCTGTCAGGAATATTTTTTTTATTTTTTTTTTTCCAACAAAAACCCCAAATCCCTTTTTATTCCAACCCTGGAGGGGTTTGGGGGGTGTTTTGGGGACACCAGCAGGGGGAAAATCCAAAATTCCTGAAAATTCCAAGGGCGCTGGAGCTTTTCCTGGGAATCCTGGGGTTAAATTTCCTTTTCCACACCGAGCCAGAGCCATTTTACCTTCGGGCTGAGCTCGGCAGGGAGGGAGGGGAAGAGCGGGAAGGAAAATTCGGGAATTCTCCCCTTTCCCAGGGGATCGGGAATGGCGCTGGGAGGATCCCAAATCCCAAGGAATTCTCCCCGATCTCCCCAGGGGGGGTTCTGGGGGGCAGCCGGAGCCCCCCAAGCGCCGGGAGGGAGGGGAAGGGGGCTGGGGGAATGTCGTCATTTCCCAGGAAATCTGCGGCAGGAGCAGCGCCAGGAGCGGGATTTTTTTGGGAAAGGGGAGAAATTCCACTCGGGATTCCACGTGGGTGCGTCCGTAGGGACATGGGAATACTTTCCAGTTGGAAATAAATTGATTTTTAATGTCTATATTCTGTTTTTACAGCGGTGGGCAGGGAACAGGCGGGAGGCGCTTCCCAAATAAACTCATTTTAATCCCAAATAAACTCATTTTAATCCCAAAAAACCTCATTTTAATCCCAAAAAAACTCATTTTAATCCCGAAAACCCTAATTTTAATCCCAAATAAACTCGTTTTGTCTCAAATTCCTGCCACAGGTGTTCCTGCACCTCTCGTTATCAGCACCCGGATCGCTCCTGGTTGGGGATTTTTCCTCTTTTTGGGAATTTTTAGGCCTGGAGATGGGAAAATCCAAGGATTGGGATCTGCCAGGGCCCCACCGAGGGATCCCTGCTGAGGAATTTTTTTGGGGAATGAGCTGGGCCAGAAAAGCTGGAAGTGCCTGTGTCGGAATATCTGAATATCCCAATATCAGGATTTTGGATTATCCAAATTTCCTGATATCCCAGTATCTGAATATGGGAATACTGGAATATCTGAATACCCCAATATCCAAATATCTGAATATTGGAATATCCAAATGCCCAAATATCTGAATATCCAATATCCCGAAATCCCGAAATCCCAATATCCAAATATCTGAATATTAGAATATTGGAATATCTCAATATTCCAATATCCGGATATCAGAACATCCCAATAAGTGAATAAGGGAATATTGGAATATTTGAATATTGGAATATCCAAATGTCCAAATATCTGGATATTGGATATCCCAAAATCCTGAAATCCCAATATCTGAATATCCCAGTATCTAAATATCTGAACATTAGAATATTCCTGCATCTGAATATGGGAATATTGGAATATCTGAATATGAAAATATCTAAATATTGGAATATCCAAATGACCAAATATTTGAATATCTGATATCCCCAAATCCTGAATATCCAAATATCTGAATATTGGAATATCTCAATATTCCAATATCCGGATATCACAACATCCTAGTATGTGAATAAGGGAATATTGGAATATTTGAATATTGGAATATCCACATGTCCAAATATTTGAATATCTGATATTCCAAAATCCCAGTAGCTGAATATCCCAGTATCCAAATATCTGAATATTGGAATATTCCAATGTCTGAGTATGGGAATATTGGAATATCTGGATATCCAAATATCTGAATATTGGAATATCTAAATATCCAAATGTCCAAATATCTGAATATCTGATATCCCAATATCCCAATGTCTGAATATGGGAACACTGGAATATCTAAATATCCCAATTTCCAAATATCTGAATATTGGAATATCTAAATATCCCAATATCCCCATACCCCAATATCTGAATATTAGAATATTGGAATACTGGAATAATGGAATATTGGATTATCCAAATATCCCAAGATCCCATTATCTGAATATCCCAATATTTGAATATCAGAATATATATCTGGATATCAGAATATCCAAATGTATAAATATTGGAATATCCAAATATTGGAATATCTGAATATCAAAATATTTGAATATTGGAATGTCTGAATATCCCAATATCCAAAAGTCTGAATATCTGAATAGTGGAATATTGGAATATACAAATATTTGTGTTTATCAATGCATTTAATTGAGTATTTATTTGTGTACCCCTGAGTATTTTGATATTTATTGATCTGTATTTGCATATTTATTGATATATATTTCTATAGCAACACTTTTATGTATTTGTGTATTTCTATATTAATTAATTTGGTTTTACTTTATTATACTTAATTTATTTTGTTTTTCATGTTTATATATGCATATGTCTATTTATATATATTTATATATCTATTCATATATGTATCTATTTATATATGTATCTATTTATGTATGTATATATTTATAAATTTATATTGATTATTATATATAGATATATTTTTATATCTTTATATTTATAAATTTTTATAAAATATTTATATAAAATATGATTATGAATTTATATGAAAATAATTTATATAAATTTATTTATATACTTATATACAATTTTTTTATTTTTTATTTTTAAATTTTTAATATTTTTATTTTTTATTTTAATTTTTTATTTTTTATTTAATAAATAAATTTATGTTTTTATACATTAATTTATTTGGCTCGATCGATTTATTTTTATCTGTATTTATGGATTTCCACATTCACACATTCCCAGCCCAATCCCTGCTCCCCATGGGGGAATTCCCAACTTTCCCAGGCCACAGGAAAACACCCGGAGTATTCCCAGGAAAATCCTCACCCGGGAAATTCCTCCCTCGGACATTTGGATCCCGGGAAAGAGGAAATTTGTGGAGATTCCCCCAAATCCGGGGGTGCTGGGAGGGCGGGATCCCCTTCCGGAGGTGGGAATGGGGGGATCTGGGAGCGGGATGAGAGAGGGGGAGAATTCCCAGGTGGGAAAATTCCCATCAAATCATTCCAGGGGCGGATTTCCCTGACAGGGACGTGCAGGAACACGAGGAGGAGGAGGAAGAGGAAGAGGAGGAGGATCTGGGAGTTCTGTGGGATTTGGAAAGGGATGGGATCCGTGGGATAGGATGGGATGGGATTCACGGGATGGATGGGATGGGATGGGATGGGATGGGATGGGATGGGATGGGATGGGGTTCCATGGGATTTTATGGGATTCCATGGGATTCCATGGGATTCACGGGATGGATCCATGGGATGGGATTCCATGGGTTCCATGGGATGGGTTGGGATCCACGGGATGGGATCCATTGGATGAAATCCAGGGATCCATAGGATGGGATTCATGGGATGGGATGGGATGGGATGGGATCCATGGGAAGGGATGGGATCCATTGGATGAGATCCCAGGATCCATGGGAAAGGATGGGAAAGGGAAATCAGCTCCTCCTGCAGATCCCACAGACTCCAGCTGGGAATTCCCATCCCTCCATTCTTGCTGGTGCTAGGACACCAAAGCCGGAATAAATCCCAAAAACATTTAGGGAGAACATTGGGATTTGCTTTGACCCCACAAATATCCCAAATCCACCCTTCCTGCAAGGAGCAGGAAAAGAGGGATCCGTGTGGAAAACGGGAATCAGCACCAAAAGAAAAGGAAAAGCCGAGGGGAGAGAATTCCCGGAGCAACAAAGATTCCAGAGGATGCACCGGATTTGCCAGGAAAACCCCCCAAAAAAGGGATTAGAAATTAATTAATCCAGGCCAAATCAAATTATTCCCATTGCAGGGAATGGTTTTATCCACTCCCTTTCCTGGTGGGAAGCAAAGAAAATTCGGGATAAAACAGAAAACTTTGGGATAAAATCAAAAGATTTGGGATAAATTTAAAAAATCAATTTCAAACCCCCCCAGAGCATTTTGAAACCGTGGCGAGTTTGGGGTTAGCAAATCCTTAAAAAGGATGGGAAAAATTCCCAATTTTTTTTAAGTTTTGTTTCACCTTTTCCTGAGGATTTCCCCTGCCCGCCAGTGATGGAGGAGTTTGTTTGGGATATGAATGAATTCTCCCGATTCCCGGGATTTTCCAGGGGGTTGAGAGCCGGAGCAGCTGCTCAGTGACCCGTGGTGACCCCGCTGACCCCGGAGAGCTCAGAAATGCAAAGTTGGAGTTTTCGGGAATTTGGGAAGAGAGGGAAGGGAGAGGGGGGAGGGGTTTCCTTATCCAAAATGGGGTTTTTGGGGATAAAAAAGGGAAAATCCCATTTGGGAGGGACTCGGCCCTAAAAGGATCACGGCTTCCTTTGGGATGGGCAGGGAGGGATACCTTGGAAAGTTTTTGATCCCAAAAATCTATGGATTGGGAACAAAAAAAAAGGGAGCGGCTCTGCCTGGGAATGCTCAGACAACAGAGATTCATCCCAAAATTACTGGATTTGCCCAAATTCCCCGTTCCCCTTTTGGGAAAACAGGAATCCTGTGGAAAGATCCCTCTTTTTTAGGGAAAAACAGAATCCTCTTGGGATCCTCTTGGGAATCCTCTTGAAAGGCCCCTCCTTTGGGGGAAATCCCGTGGGAAAGTGAAATTTTTGGGGAAAAATACAGGAATCCTGTGGATAAAGGCCCATCGGTTCTTGCTCAAAGGGATATAAAACCCCATAAAATCCCATGGATCCCATAAAATCCCATGGATCCCATCCCATCCCATCCCATCCCATTGATCTCATCCCATGGTTCCCATCCCATCCCATGGATCCCATCCCATCATCTCATCCCATGGATCCCATTATCCCATGGATCCCATCCCATCTTATGGATCCCATGGAATGGATCTCATGGATCCCATCCCATCCCATCCCATGGATCCCATCCCATTATCCCATGGATCCCATCCCATCCCATGGATCCCATCCTATCCCACGGATCCCATGGATCTCATGGATCCCATCCCATCCCATCCCATCCCATCCCATCCCATCCCATCCCATGGCTCCCATGGATCAAATCCCACTCCAAGACTTCCCCTCCCTCGGATTTGCCTC